ATGCAACTTTAAAGACCTGTCTCATAAAACAAAAAGGGGGAATAGGCAGTCAATATAGATCGCCTAAAGATAAATTAAATGTTGCACTATTTATACTCAATTTTTAAAATTTGAATGCAGATGGTCTCTCCGCAGCAGACAGACATCAGATCTCAGGGCAGCAGAATCCAGTGCAGGTTTATTGGAAAGATGTCCTTTCAGGACAGTGGTACGGCCCCTCCCCGGCCATAGCCTGGACAAGAGGCGCTGTTTGCATTTATCCACAGGATAAGGAAGCACCTATTTGGGTCCCCGAACGTCTAGTGAAGCCGGGAACGAGAAGAAATGGATGTGAGAACCCTAATCAGGTTGAATATAGTGATACTGATGATAAAGAAAGGAGAAGTACAAATCAGAATAATATGGAGTGTGCTCAAGGCCTTTCCCCTGCCGCTGCCCCTAAGTCATGATGCTAGTATATTTCCTAAAGTATTCAGTTGTAACGAGGAACCCTTTGATTAATGTTGCAGTACTGCTGCTGTGTTAAATTCGCTATCTCAGAATACCGCTGAGGCATTGGAGAAACAGGAAGAATTATTCATGCAGTTGAAGGCGGGCATACTCTTGGTAAATCAAGAGTAGATTTATTACAGGAACAAGTGGATATCTTAGGGCAGTTAATGTTTGTGGGATGTATTTATCATATGCCTGGATTATGAATAACCTCTGTGGAGTATCTTAATTTCTCTAAGGCAGGTAATCTATCTAGAGAACTCTCTACAGCTCTCCAAGGCAACTGGAGCGAAGATACAGGCATCAATTGTGGCAGTGAATGCTACAAGAGTAAAGATGGTCTCTATAGAAGACTGGATGAAGACCCTCCAGGGAGCCTTTTCCTTCCTCAAGGACCGGGGAGGGATGGCTTTTTGGGAATTCCTGCCGGTTGCTGCTTGTGTCTGTATGGTTTGGTGTGTGTGTAAGATGCGGTGGCAGACAGCTCACCAGCAGCAAATACAGGCTATGGCTGCCTTAGAGAAGGGCAAGTCACCCTCGCATTTGGCTAAATATGCTGGACCGGTAGTCAATGAT